AATTATGTGGGAGTCATATTTTTTTTTGCTCTCAAGTACTGTACTCCGTGAAATAGGTCAATAAGCAAATGGAAAATGAGTTCCTCACTCGGGAATTTTTAATCGATCGTATTGCAAGTAACGACGGAAAGTATCGACGAAATGCAACCGTCTCATCCAGGAGATGAAAGAAGAAAAAAGAAAAATAGCGTCGCTTTCAGGGGTTGAGTGCCTTCCCTTGAGTGCAGAGGCACATTATTGCAAGAAGCTCCAGCCTCCCACCCCTTCCCCATCCTCCCCTGCTACTTTACGCAAATACTTAACGTGTTTAATTTCCTTCGAGGGCCCCTGGAAAAGTGGGGCCCGGTGTAACAGCCCCCTTTGCCCCCCTCCCCCCTCTTAATCCGACCCTGGGTGAATGGTATTGGAAGTGGCCACCACTTCATTTAACCACGCGAAGCGGCGTCCCAGTTGCGAGATGTCTCTGTACAGTGTCGCGTTGAATTCCTTTGATTCCTTTTGACCTTCCTTTTCGGCTGCTGGCTCTCACCTCGTCCCGATGCCAAGGGGCTCCTCCCCCCCCCCCCCCCCCCCCCCCCCCTCTTCGTAGCTTGGCGTCTGGGCCCCTCTGGCCCGTGGGCCCCAGTGCAGTCGCACCGCCTGCACTTTCGGTAGCTAAGCCACTGACTAAACGGCGGGTGAATCTGAACAGCGCGAAATACCTGAATACATGAAATACGTGACAACTAGCCACTTGTGCCATTGCATGGGCATAGGCCATCAACAAGGGTTAAAACCTATTGTAAGAGTATTCTTGACTTGAACAGCTTTCCGAGGAAAGTAGCATCTCCATTTTGACCCTGATTGATGTAAGGAACTGCTCGAGAGGTTTTGCCTTCCTTGGAGTCGCATAAGATCTGACGGGTTCGAACGAATCCGCGTGGGAAAGAGGAATTACTATTATTTCGAAAAGAGACGGAATCTGCGATATTTTGTTCCATCGCTAGTCTGTCCGAGCGGACTTCTTGATTATCGGCACTGCGGGGTAAATCCTGACGGGTGAGGGGGGGGGGGGGGCCCGGGGGGGAGGGGGAACCGAACGTTCGGATTTACCCCACATTCTATTGTATTGACGTTGTAGAAAACACAAATGACTCTATGCTACATAAGTAATACTTATGCTGTCCTATTTTTGGCAATTACATGTCATAATGCTTTCCAGATGCCGTACAAGTGCAAAAAAAAAAGCAAAAAGGCAATTGTGAATCAAGATCTTCAAACCTCTACTGATCGCGTGGGGTGTAGGCGATCCCATACCTATTTAACCAGCTTATGTGCACCCAAATAAACGCGAGTGATTAAGGACTAACATTTGATGCCCGCCGTGCAGGACTTGCCGTCATGAAGAGTCACCTAGTAATTCCAACGCGGTAACGTTATTGTTACTATGTTACTTTTATGGGTGTAACTCCATTGTATTTCCACCGCGCTTGCATGTTTAGACAACTATGCAAGGATGATAATGTTCGTAACAAAGCAATGAGGGTGCTTATTGGGAATAGTAACTTCACCGTTTTTCCCTCGTTACCTAACCTTCAAAGCATGCTGCTTCGAAATCAAAGACGAACTCGTTGGGGACTAACAAGCGTTTTTAACAAATGTAATGTTTTCCGAAAATGGCAATTTGAGGACTGGGTAACGAGATTTGTGCTTGAGAGTGGACACGAAAAGTGCACCAAGGGGAATCCCGGTGCTTCCATGGGATACGTGTGCAATTTCTGCTCATAAATAAATGTAGAGGCGCTGTTCAGAATATTTTCTCCCAACGTTCGGATTTACCCCACTTACTGGGGTGTATCCGGGCGAAGCCATTTCTGGAAAACATTGCTTTTGTCAAAAACGCTGCTTAGTTGTCAACGATTGCATTTTTTTATTTCCAAACTGCGACTCTAAAAATCAGAAACCGGTTTAAAGCACCGCTCAAATCCCTTTTCCTGACCTACGAAGCAGATTTTCCTTATGATTTCGGTATTACCTCACTTTCCCCTACTCGTGGGAGATGTCAAAATAAAATTATCCCCTAAAATGCGCTCAGCAGCAGAAGATGCTGCTGCCGACGCGTTCAAATTTCACCCGCATTCGCTCCTATTTCATTCCCGATCCAAGTTTTGAAGTAAAATTTCTCCGTCGACGAATTTGAGATCTTGATGATGATCTCAGCATTCCTGCATCCCACATTCCATCTCGAGATGATGTTTCCCTCGGAGAACCGAAAACGAAACTTGAAAAAAAAAAAGGAATTTCTGAGGCCTTACCGTCTTTCTCCGAGTGCGACGCATTCGTCCCCGGAACCGAATTTCCATTCCTCAAAACTGCAGTAGTTTTTCAACGGATCTTCTACCAACAGTTTTCACTGACAGAGAGCCAAATGTGAATTTGAAAGGTCTAAAGCGCATTCCAAGAGGTATATAAGAATCATGCATTAAAATTTTCCTGTCCCCTCGAATGTATTATTTCTGATGCATGATTTCATTCAGACTTCACAAGAGCACTTGTACGAAATTAAATAATTGATTGAGCAGAGGTGATTATATTTCTCTTTCGTCCTGTTTCGTCAAGTTCTTGTGACAGTGGCTACCGGCGTAGCGTTGCTAAAAACGATTAGAAAACTATTAATATCTGACTTTCCCTGATCAACTCGCGTGCTATCCGTGAGAGGAATTTATTTTCCCGCGAAAAATGTGCATCGCTCGTTGCATCTTAGATGTTTTTGCATTAGCGACGCTGGTTTTTCCTCGGATTCTGCAGCAGGACCAGCAAGGCATGCCGCGGTATTCGGGCAGTACAAGTAGAAATACATGCGAAAATGCCTCAGACTCCTTATTCTCGGCATATTTCTCACTCGAATGACATAGCAATTGATTTCAGCCAGAGGAATTTGAAAGAAATATAATGGACTTCAATCGTGCTCAATGGCACTCTGAGGAATGCAGTATAATCACTCATCGTAGACAAGGGCCAAAGATGGCAGATGTTTAGTTCAATTATTTCATGTTAAGGAGAGTTTTCCCAAGTTCCTCGTCAATCGGCTCAGTGGTTGGTAATAAGTTTACCGAGGTTATGCCACTTGGACTTCGGTGGACCTGGTCCACGCGATGTTTCTTAGTCTCCAGATGAATACATTCGGCCCCCCAAAAAATTGCAACTCATTAGAATACCGAGATAGAACTGGAAATAACATTTCTTTTATATTCAAGTCGAACTTGATGAGGCTCGAGGACGTGACCGTGCCCTCGGGAATCGAATTCCATTTGGTTTTTTGGCTTTTTTTGTTCCGATCGTGTGGGCTGATGGGGATCAATGCTTTTCACCGGGGAAACGTCGAGTAAAGTCTGTCGAGTGGTTTTCGGTTGATCCTCTCCAGTGAATCCCACAAGCTTTGACGCGCTGTCAATTATTTTCTTGTTATACGGAGGGAAAAGGAAGCGAGGAGGACCCGGTCCAGTAAATTCAAAGAGCGCAATTCGACTCTCGAGGTGGAAAAATCGAAGACGGAGCTGACAGCATCGGCGTCGTCGCCTGGATTCCCTTATATATTTTTTGCATCCGGCAGGGCAAGAGAGGAGTCGATATGGCGTCTGGGGAATTTTTTATCCGTCAGCGGAGACACTAGAAGATTCGACGGACAAAACCCAGTTTTTGGATTAAGGATTTCTTAAAGATGTAGCTTGGATTACGGATAGCATTAAGTGTTTGGGATTCTTTTGCTCTTCAGCATCGTGGCAAACTCGGACAATTTTCTGTCACGGAAGGAAGATCAGAAAATAGGTAGGCGTGCCCAGTTTTGTCGAATTGCTCATCTACTTTCTATGTTTATTATTATAAAACAAAACAATTAATTACTTTCCCTTTCACTTTTCCAATTCCTTTGCATTATGTTAGGTAATTGAGAAGAAATCCAATGACTAAGAAAGTAAATTCCATTATTTTGTTAACTCCTGTATTCCACGTCGCAACGATGGTAAAGTGGATATCTTGGCCCCCTTCATCTTCGATTCAGTGCATAACACATGGCTATTGATGGACTCTATCCTCAATGACGGTCGGGAAATGCATGGATTCGTGGTATCCGCTGCTTCTCGAATGTTCGGGCTTTTATTTGTAATGGCGTAGTGGCGACTTCAAGTATATGAACATCCATGAATGTGCCCTTGTGGAACACCGAGGGAAACCTCATATTAAAGGAGGTGTCGTGCCCAAGAAGGGATTGAAACGCGAATATTAACAGGCTCTTGTCATATAATCCCAGCATCTCGAGGGTTCCAATAGGAATGGAATGAATCAATTGTATAATGAGCCTGATTCCCGGACGCTTTGTACGTACATGTTTCAGGAATAAATGATGCCACGGATTTGGAAAACCATGGCAGACTTTATTATGTCACCTAGCCTATATGCATAAAGAGAGCACAGAAGCCTCATCCTCTCTTCGCATTCCAGGAAAAAAAAAATTCAATCACATGGGAAACTGAATACCCAAGTCGGCTGTGCAAGAGCGTAACGAGTCAACGCAGGCGATACAAACTTTCTCACGATATACATATCCTTTCGTACAGAACAAACGTGAAATCCATGGTTTCATTTTTAAGACGGAAGACGATGAACATCGCCATACATGGTATGATAAGCGTTTCGACAGACAGGCACGAGATGGACCTGTGGCGACATCTGTTGAAAGCCCGACGAGTGAGTAAGTTTTCTTATTCTCGGGTAGATGTCGTACTTTTGCAAGAGGGGGCCCAGCACTTGACAAAAATAAATAATCGTCCCCAGATACAGATATAAATAAAGAGGTAACTCTCCACAGAAAGAATTGAAAAAGAACCGAAATAGAGGAGTAGCACCATCCATGGTTGGTACAATCCCGATTCCACAGCCGAAGGGATTCTGGGAGAGGAAAGGAAGTTGCCGAAGAAGTGGACAGTTTCTCTTTTTCTCTCTTTTTCATGTTTACTGTTAGTTCAGTGATGCTGGCGATGCTTGTAGGAGTGGTGATGATGATGGTGATGATGGCGTTTCTTCTCCCCGCCGGGCTTGGCGAAGGCATCACTCACAATCATCTCACTGCCATCACGCATCCCTTCGCCCAACGTGGAGCGGAAGTTCCCCTTGCTGCTTCTTCGATTCGTTTCGCGCAAATTCTCCCAAGCCTGCTTGTAATACTTGTTCAGCCCTCCTCCGCCCCCCGTCTCCGAGCTCGAGGAATCCGTGTCCGAATCGGGGGAGTGTCGTCGGGCATTCTGAGTCCTGGGGAATGGTATTGTCAGGATTGTTTGTTCAGCATATTTTCTTTTCCCTGGGAACTAGAGGGGACAGGTTAGTAGTAGGAGCAGTAGAAGTGATGAGTTGTGTCTCATGTGGTTGGTACGTGTTGTGTCTGTCAGAGAGATGTACCCTTCGAAGACCTGCAAGTCAAAAGTGTTAGTTTCCAGTCAGTCCATCGGCGGCCAGACTTCACAATGAGAGATCCAATAATTCCAAAAGTTCTAATTCGACCGAATTTCATATCAGTAAGCAGCGACTAGTTACTTTCAAATGCCTCACATCACAAACTTTTAGATATGGGATTCTCGCGTTCCATGACGGAACGTGAAAGCACGTTGGAGAGGCATAACGATGGAATCCCAGTATTTGCTATTCAGGAAAGATCAAGAGACGATAGACGTGGAAGAGTGACTCTTTACAGTATATTACCCCACCCGCTTGTGAAGCCAAGCCACCGAGACAGAAAGAGAGAGAGGTCGAAGAAATCAGTGTCTTCTTTGGGAGCAGTCGGTCTGATAAAAGGGTCTGATTTGAATCATTTTCCCATGCTAAAAGTCTCGTCGACACGCAAGAAAACATCACTTCAACAAAGAAAAACCGACCATAGCCCACCCACCTCGATGACATTCCATCATCATTGTGCTCTTGCTTCAATGTGGCGCTAATGGTATAAGATTAAACTTTCCGTGCACAAGATAAAATGCTTCATTATCACGTCGGGAAAAGTCACAGTCGGTTTTTCTCGATAGGTAACGTTTTCTCATAAGATGATCAGCACGCAGAAAGTGATCCAAACTAGCGCCCTCGAATTGTAGTCGAGATGGAATGTGAAGGGACAGACATAATAGGAAGGGAGTCTCGTCGAGCTTCGCGTCTCTGGGAAGACGAAGGGAATGATGGGAAGTCGGCTTACCTGCGGACCAGTATCACAATGGTGGTAATGACGGCAGCCAGGAACACGAAGCCCCCGAATACTCCCAAGGCGATGATGCCACCTGAGGGGGAAACCATGAGTAGTCAATGCAGGCCTATCATATTCAACGAGTCTCAACTTTCTCAAGTGCGATGCCTCGGTGAAAATTCATATGTGTATACCAAGGTTCAATTTCGCCGTTTTGGAAGACGAAGATTCTTCCTTGAGAGTGGGAACATCGATCCCCGGTGGCTGATCGCTTCGGATATTCACGATGCCGGGGATTTCATTGTCGATCGGATGAGCCGGTGGAGCTCCCGTCTGGGTCTTCACTCGGCCTCCACTGCCTCCAGTATTCGTGTCTGCACACATAATGAAATTCACATCTTACTGTGATGGTTTGAGGAATTGAAGAAGAAGGAAAACGAAGGAACTCACCAATGCAAGAGGGAGGCTCTCGGTCGTAGCGACCTGTGGCCTGACATACGATTTTCTTGCTTCCTTCCAGCGTGAATCTATCACTGAGGCAGAAATACTCTGCCGATGTCCCATAGACAGGGGTTCGACTGGTCATGAGGAAGTCGCCGTTCGCAATCACCGGCGGCGGGGGGCATTCCACGGCTGAAACAACCCATCCATCCATCCATCCATGATACCGTGACGAGAAAAATGAGATTTACGATTAATGAAGTCCCACCTTCGCATCTGGGAGGGGGTCCGTTCCATCTGGCATCGACGTCGCAGACCAGCTGGTTCTGACCAATGAGCCGGTAGCCTTCTTCGCATTCGTAGGCGACCATCGACAGGAAGGATTTGGTTCCGTTCAGCAGGTTATACGTCCCATGGTTGATCGGGGCTGGGTATCCGCATTCCACGTCTACCGGAGAAAAATCGGATTAAAATTACCATTATCTTTCTCTTTCATCATATAAGGATGTGGAGCTTGGAGGAGAACGTCCGGAAGCCAAAGTAGAAAAATCGACAGCTATAAAATGGATTAATGTATTTGAAGTAAGACTCTCACATTGGCAAGTGGGTGGGAATTCGGTGAAAAATCCGGTCTGGAGACAAGTCCTTTCCCTGGGTCCGATGAGAAGATGGCCTCGATTGCATCTGTACTCAATCTCGGAGCCGACTTCATAATTGGAGGAGAGCAGAGTGGAATTCGGTGGCTGTTCGGGTCGACCACATCCTTCTGGCCCTGAGAAAGCCATTGGAACATTAACCGTCAGTTTCTATCACGACCCGTCCCAGTGCCTCTTCCCTTCAACCATTTCAGATCTTCAGAAAAGTGTATCATACCGGGAGTGGAGACTCTAGTTATGTATACAAATTTCCGCGACTTAGTAGTGAGCTATAGTCGCAGTATTTCTTCATTATAGACTGGATTGTAGATGGATTTTAATGCTTTGGCCGCTGCTTTTTAGGGTGGCATTGCTTGGCAAGTGGCAAATCTAGTCCCCCCCCCCCCCCCCC